TTCTGATTTTATGATTTACTGGTAATTTTATGTCAATTGTGAACGTTCATTAAATTGTCTTAAGGTGATGGTGGAACTACGCTTTACAATTTCGGGGTGCTTATATGTAACTATATAGCGCAAAATTTCACTATTGCTTCATAATCAACATATGTTCGTTCCTCCCCAAACTCTTGAACGGGATACGCGCCTGTTAAATACTGTTGTGAAACGTCAACTGTGTCTTAAATAAGATATGTATAACATGTTATTATCTCAATATTTTGTATGCAATACCTATTATTTAAACTTAGAATGTCTACATCAATTAATCGTTTATCAAATGGGTATTTCTCTTTATCAGCTTTATCCAAATGTTAAGAATTTTAATGTCATTTTATCATGCTACAAATCCCAGCAGTGTTGGGGTCGTAGTACCGCCTACATGATCAAATGAAATTGATCGTAATTTTCTGTTTTGAAATGCTAGTATTGTCGCTATCAGCACTAAAGGGAAAACAGGTAATAATAAATAGTAAGATATGGCAAATCATATTATACCCTATACCAGTGAGTATGTGGATTATTTTTAATAATAAAACTTTAGGCAAGGACTAATTTTGGTAGAAGGATTTTGTATGGGAGCTAGAGTCAAATTAGGCCTGATTATTACGAAAATCGACAGTATCATTTAGACTTATACAAAACGATGCCAAGCTGATTTTTGTAAACCCTTTTATGGGAGGGGTGCGAATATATGAATCGATTTCAATCATTTCCAATAAGACAAGAAGCTTATGTGCCAAATTTCATCAAACTGTCTTGAAAATTGCGCCCTGTAGCGTGCGTACAAAGTTCACTGGACACAGACGGACAGACAGAGGGACATAGCTTAATCGATTCAAAAAGTACAAATACATAATACCCTCCCCTCACTAGTGGTGTAGGGTATATTTATTACTCATATACATTTGCAGAAATACATATGCATGTAAATGTTTGAAATACCTTGATGAATGGATGATAAGAAATAATTGTACGCACGAACAGTTATGGTCAGATAATGTAAATGAATCATACATGTACATAAATATATATCCATACAAGAAAAATCTTTACAAGATTCTAGGTATCGAAGTAACGATCAGCTACTACAATTCCTATTATTCATAATGATTTCTTAGCAAATTATTTTTATGTATTACAAATAAGTCTATAGTTTCCATTTTTAAATTGTATTAAATTTGTTATAACGTTTAATAATCCAATTATTTTTACAATATAATAAAATTTTTTTTTATTACAAACTAAAGATTCATTTGGGTCATAAATATAAAAATATATATTTTTTCTCTTCTCCATTATTATAGTGAATAAAATCAAAATTAAGTGTAATAATAAATTGATCTTGAATTGCAATTGAATTGTTTTATATACATATGTATTCGCAATAATCCGCACACAAGGTCTGGGGCTACAAATCTGTATTCAATATATTATTTAGATTTCTTTTCGATTTATTTTCATTATCAGCATGCGCCAGTAACACTAAAGCTCATATAATTAGCAAACTATGGAATCGGTATACTATTTATATAGGCGGCAGGGGATTAGTAGTGGCTTTTTACGATCAGACTATTGCAGTTGAATAATACATATGTATGTCTATGCAAGAGAGAATTTAATTATATATTAAAAAAAAAAAACTATTTCAATATTGAATGTTTAAATTGCGTTCATTCCTTTGTGTACTCAATATTTTACTTAAAGTAAGAACATGTGTGATTTTTTTATTAATGGAAGCAATAAACTGGTATTAATGGAATTTAAATTGTAAGAGACATTAAAAGGCAAAAGTGAACCTACAATGTTCTATCTATTTACTATGTATATCAGTAGCAAAATTTCCTGTTTGATTTGGATTCCATTTGATTGATTTTATACCCTACACCACTTTAGTGTAGTGGATATATTGGGTTTGTGCTGATATTTGTAACGCACAATAATATTAGTTCTATACCCACCTTAAAGTATACCAATAGGCTTAGAATCGCTTTCTATATAGATTTAAGGCTTACAAACTTTGTAATCAAGCTATGAGTCGCAATTTTGAAGATAATTTGATACATAACCTTCTATTAAACCCGGGAAGAAACCCAGAACCATTGATTATTTGAACCATTGAATAGGGCTTTTGAGCTTTTAATTATATTTAATATATATCGACGAGAAGCGGTTTCAAATTTGCCTTGATGACCCTGCCAATTTTCGCAATTATCGGGCCTCGAGCTCCCATACAACCCCCCCTCAAAAAATATGTTAAATCTCCACAATTCTCTTAAAAAGGCTAATGTCACGATAAAATCATCCACCATATTTTATGAGGCTCGGTCCTATTTTTCCTAGTTTTTCATCAATAAATCGCTTAAATATATCGGAGGCAAGGTACAGTTTAATTTAACTTAAATGTTTTATTATGAAAAACATAAATCTCATTTTTTTACCCACCATCAAAAAAGTTGGGGGTTTTTGTCATTCCGTTTGTAACATTTCGAAATATTGGTCATAGACCCAAAAAAGTATATATATTCTGGATCCTTATTAAATTCTAAGACGATGTCCGTCCGTCTGTTCGTCTGTCTGTTGAAAGCACGATAGGGTCCGAACGAGAAGAGCTAAGGAGCTGAAATTTTGTACAATTATTTTTTATTCATTCACTTTGTTTAGAATTGAAAGTGGGCCATATCGGTCCATATTTTCGCATATCCAACATACAAGTGGCCCCCCGAAAAACAGTTTAAACCGTCATAGCTAGTTTAAAAACATTTGTATGTCAATGAAATTCCACATAAACAAGTTTCATATGAACCAAAATCTCTCTACCAAATTTTATAGGAATCGGTCCATAATTAACCCTACCCTCCATATAAGGTCCCTCTCAGAAAAAGACTATAATGCTCATTACTTGCTTCAAAATGATAGCAAAGCAACAAAATTCAACACAAAGAAGTTTTAGTGGAACTAAAATATCTTTGCCAAATCTTACGGAGATACGCCCATAATTGACCCTACCCCCATTATAAGGTCCCTCTCAGAAAAAGACTATAACGCTCATTTCTTGCTTCAAAATGATAGCAAAGCTACAAAATTCAACTCAAAGAAGTTTTAGTGGAACTAACTAACGATTTCAGCCTTTTGGTGTTCAAAATGAAAGAGTAGATTTTTGCTAGATGATCACTTGATAAACAGCTTTTGTTCATGATTGTTCGTTGGTCAAACATTTCTGAAGTCTAAAGTCAACAAAAGAAATTGACGCCTCAGTACATGTATATCCAGTGAACAGTGTCCTGTTATGGTCGCGATAAAGTTTCTATGATGAAATCCAGACATGTTTGTAGCAAAATTCGTCCAATATCAATCCTAGGCCAGATTTTTCTGGTTTTTCATCTTCTGTTAGCGATGAATTGTAGTTTGTTTGCAATCAGCTGTTTTCCTTTTGCATACCTTACGTCGATGTTGCAGTCAAACTCATTCAAAATTAGGTCCTATCACTACGCGGTAGCCAATAGTGATCTAGTAACGAAAATCCTTTTCTCGGGTTCGATTCTCTAAAACCAATCACAAACTAATTTACATGTTTGGGTATTAAATTTGGAAGAGGGATAAACCGCAGCCCCTATCTTTGATTTTTCTACTTGTAAATGTCGTCGGCCAAACAATGACACTTGTATTAAAAAAGTTTAAAATTATGTTTAGAGTAAATATCGAAAACTTTAAAGCATTGCCACGCTAGGAAAAAAGTAATAGGAATGGATAGGACCGATTTGAAATTAAAGAAACGGTCTCAGTACCCTACCAGCGAATCGTGATCTTAGTACAACTTGTTAAAAACAAATTTCTACAATCAATAATTTAATTATATTTTACTAAAAAATCTATGTTTTAGAAAACATCGATGTTTCACCGATATATCTATATCGTTATTTCTCCTACATTCATACATCCTATATAATGGATATTTTATCGTTTATTTATATATGTATTTCAAAGAAAAATCTATACTTTTCACTTAAAATCGTTAATTCACCAAAAATTTATATATTTCTCCAAAAACTATATTGTAACGAAAAATCGATATTTCACCAAATAGTCAATATTTCACTGAAAAAAACATTTCACCGATAAACTAATATTTCACCGAAAATTTATATTTCACCAAAAAGTCGATTTTTTAAATATTTTATCAAAATGTCACCAAAAACTGGATTTCACACTATAATTTCAACTTTTCACCAAAACAAAAATTTTTTATCATAAAATCTACACATTTATTAATATATATTGTACTTCAAAAAAATCCACAAACACAAAATGTTTTAAATTGTTACAACACAAATGACAAACTTAAAATACCGCACTATTCTTAGCAATATTTATTAATACAAATGGGAGCAGTAGTAATCACAATAATTTTCGTACTACAAAAAAATTATTAAAAAAAAACAAATATTTTAAAGCTAAAATACTAACGTAAGTTTATTTAAAAATAGAATTCAAAGTAAATTATAAAATATTTAAAAGCCCCTCCAAAAAAACAATTTTGAGGCTGATAATTTCCTCTTCTTAGCACTAAATAATTTTATATTTTTTGAGGTTTTTGTTGTTTTCTTTTTGTTCTAAATAACAAAAAAACAAATTGAGTACTTGTTACAACAGGCGCAACAACAACAACAACTACAACAAGTATGTAAGAATCGTGACAAAATTGAATTTCTTTAAATTTTAAATGTAAATGTATAAAATAAAATATTATTACTTTTATTAGGTGTTGCTTTTAATATGCCTTACACGGGTTTTTTATTTTATTTGTTGCTAATTATTTATTGTTGCTTCGGTCTCTTTTTATTTTTATTATAATTGTAACGGTTTAATTCATCAATATTACACTCAAAATACCACAAAAACAACAACAATGAAAACAAAAATAAAAAAAAAAATTATAATATTTTCTCAATTTCTGTCAATTACTTTAGTTTCAGTTTCAATTAGTGCGCCAGGGAATTTGAGAGATTAAACAACAAAATTTAAATGAATAAAACAAAATTTAATTAAAAATTTATTAAATCCAAAACTAAGTGACTAGTGTCTGAGAGTGCGTGTGTGTGTCTGAATATAAATTTGTAAATTCTCTAATCTAAGTTTTTAACTCAGCATTTTGATTTTAATGTTGTTTTTAATTGCTTGAGTTTGTTGTTTTTTTTTTTTTAATGGCTAAAACTGAAATACCGACAAATTTCGATGGCATTGCTGATACGGTTGCAATTAATAAAACACCCCCATTATGGGGCTCTGCCAGATTGACCTATACCATTTGTGCCTTTTTGGCCATGGTCGTTCAGTTGTGTTTACGAAATACCCTAAATTTTGTTATTTTGTGTATGGTGAAGCACCAACCAAGAGAAGTTGAAAATTCCACAGATTATAGTGTTAATGCCGATGATAACAGTTGTGGTCCCATTGACAGTGGAAATGGGACAACAATTGAAAGAGTAAGTTGTCGCATGTATGGACTTTTATACAAATTTAAACATTTGCGGAACCACGTTGAAAAAATAATTGTCAATTTTGCATTTCTTAATGTTATAGTCAAATTACCTCTTTTTACATATGTTCATACTTATTATGTATTAGAGATTGTGTTCGCGGTTAATGAACGAAACTTATTTATATCAACTGTTAAAAATAGTAACTTCACTCGGTACAAGAATTTTAAAATATGTCTTGGTTTTCGAAGAAATAAATATTTGCGATGGTTTTTATACATTTTATAAAATCATTCACAAATTGAGTGAAAAACACAAAAGTGACAAAAGTTATGAATCTTGTTTACTAAACTGAACAAATAAAAAACGAATCACATATACTTGCTATTCAGCAAAAATAATGAATAGTTTCTCTCCTAATATCAAGAACCTTCCAAAAATTAAGTTTTCCGTGGAAAATTTCTCGTATAAGATTTTAGATTGAAGTAAGTTTTCTTTAGAAAACATTTCTCTCAATAAATGAGATGAAAAATTTCTAAAGAAAGTTTCTCTTCTAATAAAAGAGATGAACTTTTTTACAAAAGTGACAAAAATGAAATGAATATGAATCTCGTTTACTAAACTGATCGAATAAAAACGAAATCAATTTAAAATTGAAGTTTTCTTTAGAAAATTTCTCTCATAAGATTTTAGATTGAAGTAAGTTTTCTGTAGAAAACTACTCTCCCAATAATTGAGACGAAAAATTTCTATCGACAATTTCTCTCCTAAAAATTGAGATGATATAAATCATATATCTTTGCTATTCAGCAAAAATATTGAATAGTTTCTCTGATAAAAATTAAATTTTCTCTGGAAAATTTCTCTCACAAGTTTTTAGTCTGAAGTAAGTTTTTTATAGAAAACATCTCTCTCTATAATGGAGACAAAAAGTTTATCTCCGAATAATTGAGATTTAAGATTTCTATAGAAATCTCTCAATAATTAAGAGGAAATATTTTTACCCAAAAATTCTATCTTAATAATTGAGACAATAAATAGTCTGCTTATCTTTCCTTCAAAATGTAAATCTAATTAAGTGAGAAAAAATCTCTGTATTATTTCAATTCTTTATACTTTTTTTAGTCTGGCACTCTATTATGGTCACGGTCTCAAGAATTCGCCTTATTGGGCACATTCTATTATGGCTATCTAGTAACACTGCCAGTAGCTGGGCGATTGGCGGATAAGTTTGGCGGTAAGCTCTTATTTGTACACTCCATAACAGCTCAAGCAATTATCTTCATGCTAATACCATTTTTTGCTCAAAGAAGCTATATGGGAGCAGTGGTAATACGCATATTACAAGGTCTAATAGCGGTAAGAATTTTAAAAAATTCCTTAAATTTAATCAAGAAAACAATGAAAACTAATAATTAATTCTTTTAGGGTTGTGGCAATCCTGCCCTCTATCAATTATTCTCTACATGGGCTCATCCCAATGAACGCACTGCCTTTTTATCCTTCGCTTATGGTGGCTATTCTGTGGGCGCTTTATTAGTATTTCCTATATCGAGCTTCTTGTGCAAATTTGGCTGGGAATTGGCTTTTTATGCTGTCGGTAGTGTTTCTTTAATATTTGGCATTTGTTGCCAGTGGCTGGTGTTCAGCAGCTTAGAAGATCATCCTCGTTTGTCGAAGGATGAGTATGATTATTTGAAAGCAAATCATATAGAAAAATCTACCACCGGAGTGCCCTGGAAATCGATTTTAACCTCAGTGCCAGTGTATGCTTTTATATTTACACATATTTTTCATACTTATGGTGTCATGGTTTTTACACTCTTGATACCGAGATTTTTTAATGAAGCCATGGGTTTGCCATTGGATTTGGTAAGTCCTTATTTTAAGTATTGAAACAAAAAATGAAAATTTAATATATTTTCAGGTGGGTTTAATATCGTCAGCTCCATTTTTGGGAGCCTTTATATCAAAAGCAGTTACCATTACTTCCTGCACCATTATAGAAAAAAGGCCAAATTTAAATCTTACACTATACAGACGCATTGTGTATATAATTTGTAAGTTTTTAAGACTTCTTAAATATGTAATTATTAAATATATTGTAGGCTATATAATTTTGTTTCCAGCCAATCAATAACTTTTCATATTTTTTTATTTTAGGTAATTGTTTCACCATACTCTTTATCTTGGGCATGATAATATCCAACTGTCATCAACGTGTTATGGTAGTTTTATTTACAGTTTGTATTGGTATTACCACAGATATGGGATTTTCTGGTGTCTATTGGCCTAGTCTACTGTATGTAGCACCAGCATTTGCAGGCCTTATAACAGGTATAGCCAATTGTTTGGCTACAGCAAGTGGATTTTTGGCACCTCTAGGAATATCTACAATAGTGCGTCATGTAAGTGTTGAAACGATATTCCTTATATAACAATTTTAATATATTTTTTTATTTCAAGGGCACCAAAGTTGAATGGAATTTGGTTATGGCCTCCTTAATGACCGCTTATCTTTTGGGTGCTATTGTTTATGGTCTTTTTGGCAGTTCAAAATTGGCCAAATGGGGTCAGGTCACAAAATTAGAAAGTAATAATAACAGAAATAACCCACAGGAAACAACAGAGACTTAAATGTAGCTATTGAATTTTGTAAATATGTACTTGTAAAATTTTTTTTATATGTATTTTGTTATTGTTGTTTTATTAAGTAGTATATGTAAAAAAAAAAACGAAGAGTGTCCTTATTATTGTATGTTTTTAATAATATTAGTATCCCTAGTTTATAATTTATAACATTTTAAAAGCATTTTATCAATACATTGTTTTATTTTGGTGCTTTTTAATATGTTTATTTACAATTATACACGATATTTGTTTCATTAATGTAATAAAATTTTAATAATTTAAAATTTTTAAGAAAAAAATATTATTTTACTGAATTTTTAGGTTAGAAATAAAATCTACAGCAATTTTGAACTTGTTTATGTTAAATTTTATCGCTATACGTACTATTATTTTAAACTCAGTAAAGAGTTTTTAAGTCATTTTCTAAAGGGGACCTTCTATAGAGGGATAGTGTCAACTATGAACCGATCCCAATAAAATTTGTTTAGTAAAAGTAGTTTATATTGAATTTCTGTTTAAGTCAATTATGGCTATTTAAATAAACTGTATTCCGGGCGCCTCTTGTATGGGTTTTGAGTAACACCATAGACTGATGTTTCCATATTTAAATAGAAAACTTCTTTTGATGTTGATAACTAATCTACTAAGTTTAACTCTTTTAAAACTTACTTAAGCGAAAGCATCCACGCCACGTTCCACAAAGACTTTAAGTTATTACTAAAAATAGTTAAATAAATTTATTTTATCTAAAATAAACTGAGGTAGGTATAAAAAAAATAAAATTTACATTCATTAACCGCCATGTCCATTTGATAGGTACACATTTTACTTTTACTTCAATTTCTTTTATTAACAACAATCTAAACAACTAGACACTTTCATTTTTATTTCGCTATTGTAAAACAATATTTACTTCAAATTTATTTAATTTTATACACTTTTTTAACAAATTCTGGTTGTTTTATTTTCATTTGACACTTCCGTTAGAAAAAAAGTAATAAAACATATTAGCTTTTTGCGGCAAATTTGTACAGAGTTGTAATAAAAAGTAGCAACACAACAGGGTGATAAAGAAACACAAAAAAATATATGGACTTTTCTTCTAATATATATTTTTACATATTCCCAAAATTCCCGACACCGTCATCTCATGTAGGTGGTGAAATTCCAAATTTTTTGTTTAAAAATTTAATTCGTAATTGTAATTTCGAAATATTTCGAGACAAGCTTTTCGGTTTTGGTTTCAAATCTATTTTGTTAAAAAAAAATATTATTTGACATCTATACATTCATAATGATATTTATACTCTACACTGTGCTAATATTGGTCCTAACGACTGTGCTAATATTGGCCCTAACCGAATTTAAAATCTACTATTCGGCTCAAAATTACTTTCTGAGTCGATTAAGCTATCTGCATTTGAGTATCCATGTAAAAATTATGCGCATGCTACAGGTCGCAATTTTTAAGATAATTTGAATTTGACACATACTTTTCTTCCAAAAACAAAGTCTATTGAAAATGGTTAAAATCGCTTCATTATTTTACCTACTCCCCATACATGTGAAGTCGTCTAATAGTAATGTTAGTTTTACATACATATATATATGATTAAGTTATACACCAAATTTTCTTAGGGCCAATCTTTAGGTGAAAGATTAGCGATTAAATTAAAATTAATCCTCGAAAGATGTTTTTGAGTACTCAATTAGTTAATTTTGTTTGCAAGTTTAAGCGCCCAATGGAGGTGGTTTAATTTTAAGCAGGAAATGCAAAAGTGTAAACAGCTGATGCAAAAAAATTAATAAAATTTTGATAAATATAAACATTAAAATGTTCTAATTATTGATTAGTATAAATTATGGACACTTCAAAATACATTTTTTTGTTTTTAATTTAAGTTTTCATTAATTTTCATATTAAATTTACAATTGTATTCTTCTTTTTTATAAAATATGCATTGTTTTGATAACAAACAGTGAAGTTTTCTGTTGTTTTGTATGGCAACACTGCGAAGTTTAATCTTGTACTCAAAAACATCAAAGGGGATTAACATAAGATTAAATTTATTTTTAGATTAATTAATCTGATTATTAATTGGCATTTGATTACCATCTCAAAACCCCGCTCTTAATGGTCCAGCCACAGTAGATCCTAGACGCCCTACAAAAAGTTAAGAAAAAATGTAGACGTAAATCTCTTTAAATTTATGAGGATAGACCCAATCTTAACCCTTGCCCCATCTTTTTGAAAATCATTTATTATTGTAGATAAATTGTTAAATATTTTGGAATTATTGTGAAAAACAAGTTAAGTGAATTATCCACATTTTTAACATACTCATTAGTGTAGGGTCACATAGTCGCTCATGTCCTACAATACACCCTGACCTGTTTTATTTTGAATTTATTTTTTATATAAAATTTTCTTTGAACGTTAACAACAAGAAACAACGTTTAAATACCGTTGAAAAAAATCAAAACAGACTTTTGAAAACTTAATCGACTACAAACTTCGATTTTAAGCCGCCGCCGAAGTGTTCAATATTAACGCCGTTGCCGTTATAAGAACTATTTTATACAACCGTGTGAATTAATTGTTGCGTGCATTTTTTTATATTCTGTGTAAAAAAGGAAAACAAAGTACAGATTTGTTAGTAATTATGTGTAAAATTGAATAAATAATAAAAATAATAAACAATAATTAAAGTTTTAATGGAGTATTAATAGAAAGCACAACTTATAAAATGGAGACAAACGATTTAACACAACTTTCGGAAGAATTGATACAGCGTTTAGGCAGTGGCGGTGATTTAGGTGAGATGCGCCCGGAAGTCATTAATTTAGTTAAAATATCCAGGAAATCATTATGAAATTATTTTAAAATTGCATTTTATTTTCTTTGCAGAGGGTATGATGTCCAGTGAGCTGTTTCAACAGGGCGATTTATACATGACCAATCAGGATGATAGCAACTCTAATGTTGCCGTAGATAATGAAATTATAATGCATATGGATATACGGGAACCATTACGAACGCTGCAGTAAGTATTTTGAGCAAAATATTTAAGTAAACAAGTTATTTTTCTTTACTATTTCCATAATATAGAAAACTTTTGGAGAAAAAAGTTGGCCTTAGTCTTCAAGGCTATGAATTCTGGTTGCAAGATGCCCAAGAGGTAAGTGCAGAAAAGTCGTAAAATATGAATTTGAATAATTTTTTAATTGTTGTCTGATTTCAGCTTGAACCGCATAAAAATTTGGTAGATCAATGTGTCAAAGGAGAAGGTTTGGTGCAAATTAACGTTGAAATCAAATACATTATTAAACGCATCAATATATTGGATGTTTTAAAACCCACAGAAGATGCATTAGGTGAGAAGTTTTAAGTTGCTGATCGCATTTTTATTTTACACAGTTTTGTTTTTGAAAAAATTTAGCTGCCTTAGCTGCAGAAGAAGCCTATAAAACCGATGCCTCTACTGATGATGAAAATGCTATGCGTGATGATTCTCAGGTGGCAACTGCAGAGGAATCTAAACCCAAAAAATTAAAACGGGAATTAACTCTCACTTCGCCTGGCACTGCAGCCCAGAGTGATAAACCTTGTTTAAATTGGGTTCTGGATAGTAAATTTCGCAAGGAACAGTTAAAATTAAAAATTCCGGAGAATCCCACTGAATGGACTGCTGCTCAAGTGAAATATTGGTTTCAATGGGCTGTACGGGAATTTGAATTGGTAAGTGTTGTGCTAACTTTAATATTATAAGCTTAAATCACAAAAGAGTAAGATATTAGGGTTAAAAATTAACTCATTATAACAGTCTTTATTTAATGATCAAGGAATAGTTCAATTAAAGAATGAATTATTTAGATTTTAATTAGCAATACAAAAACTATTGTGAATTATTAAATTTGTAAGACACTTTCTGAAAAGAAAACAAAAATTATTATTTAATTGATCTTTCATTTTTTAATAAATATTAAACATCTATTCACAGTCCGACGTTAATATCAGTGACTGGGCTATAAGTGGAAAACAATTATGTGCCTTGACACATGAAGATTTTCGCAAGAAAGTTCCTAAAGATCCTGGTAATATTTTTTGGACTCATCTACAATTACTAAAGGAATGTAAATTTGTATCGGTGGTTCACAAGGCAGCAGAAATTGAACAAAAGCCGGCTGTCAAAAGACCACTTCCAGAACCAATAACTTTAAACATAGTGCCGCCCGTTGCCAGAGAGCCCAAAATTATGCGTAAAACATTCCATAATTTGAAAAAGGAAGGTAGGTTATACATTTTCTTACCCATAAACCAAATGTTTATAACATCTTTTAAAATTTTAATCTTTTACCAGCCATTTTACATGAAACCCTAAATGCTGCTGCTCACAATCTTAGCTCGACCAGTGTTTTGACACATAACTCTTATGGCGTTGGTTCCGGCAACAATGGCCAAGTGCAGTTGTGGCAATTTCTTTTGGAAATTTTAACAGATCGTGAACATGTCGACATTATACAGTGGGTCGGTAATGACGGTGAATTTAAGCTGTCCGATCCCGAACGTGTGGCACGTTTGTGGGGCGAAAAGAAAAATAAACCAGCCATGAATTATGAAAAACTTTCGAGAGCTCTACGTTACTACTATGATGGTGATATGATATCTAAAGTGTCTGGCAAACGTTTCGCCTATAAATTCGATTGCGATTTGAAGCTATTGATTGGCTATACTGCCGCGGAACTATCGGCCTTGGTTAATGAAAAACAATTTGACGAAACCGTTTATCTAGAGCAGATGGATATGAAAACAGACGAGGAATGACACTGGGTAAAGGTGAAAGAAGAACCATTATTTACTATATTCGAAGAACATGTTGTGGATAGTAAAAGAGAATTACAACCGGATTAAAGAATGAATTCATTTACTTTATAATTACATATATATAATTAGATATATATATATTACTTTTTGTTTCAATTATTGACATTTCGTTTAATTATTCTATACAACATATTTTCATTCATTAAAAATGTATTTTAGTTTTTTAGTTTTAAATGTTTAATAATCGAAATTGTGCTAAAAAAAAGAGAAACGCTGGTTTTTTTAACTAAAAATCATAAAACTATTTTATGTGAACAGTGTTTATAAAAACTAAACTCATGTGTTAATTTTTGGATAAAATAAAACTTAATAAATGAAACTTCTAACTTTTTCAACATCAACATGTTGAATTAAAACTTAAAATAATTATTGAATTTTTTTTCATATTTTAAGATTCTAAGCATAAAATTTGTCATACCTACCTAGTGTTCTGGACTTTTTAAAAGATTTGTTTATAACATCTTGATTTGCATAGATTTTACAACAAATTTTACTAAGCTATGGATCATGTTGTAGCCTACAACAATTTTTAGTTTAAAATTTGCCACACCTATCTTCCTATGCAGGAAAATAGGCGGAATTATATAAATTAATTAGAAAGACATTTTGAACAGTGGAAATTTCATTCCAAAATATGAAGTTGCTTTAGGGTCTAGTCTATAGTCTAGTCTATAGTCTAGTCTATAGTCTAGTCTATAGTCTAGTCTATAGTCTAGTCTATAGTCTATAGTCTAGTCTATAGTCTAGTCTATAGTCTAGTCTATAGTCTAGTCTATAGTATAGTCTATAGTCTAGTCTATAGTCTAGTCTAGTCTATAGTCTAGTCTATAGTCTAGTCTATAGTCTAGTCTATAGTCTAGTCTATAGTCTAGTCTATAGTCTAGTCTATAGTCTAGTCTATAGTCTAGTCTATAGTCTAGTCTATAGTCTAGTCTATAGTCTAGTCTATAGTCTAGTCTATAGTCTAGTCTATAGTCTAGTCTATAGTCTAGTCTATAGTCTAGTCTATAGTCTAGTCTATAGTCTAGTCTATAGTCTAGTCTATAGTCTAGTCTATAGTCTAGTCTATAGTCTAGTCTATAGACTAGTCTATAGTCTAGTCTATAGTCTAGTCTATAGTTTAGTCTATAGTCTAGTCTATAGACTAGTTTATAGTCTAGTCTATAGTCTAGTCTATAGTCTAGTCTATAGTCTAGTCTATAGTCTAGTCTATAGTTTAGTCTATAGTCTAGTCTATAGACTAGTTTATAGTCTAGTCTATAGTCTAGTCTATAGTCTAGTCTATAGTCTAGTCTATAGTCTAGTCTATAGTCTAGTCTATAGTCTAGTCTATAGTCGAGTCTATAGTTTAGTCTATAGTCTAGTCTATAGTCTAGTCTATAGTCTAGTCTATAGTCTAGTTTATAGTCTAGTCTATAGTCGATTCTATAGTTAGTCTATAGTCTAGTCTATAGTCTAGTCTATAGTCTAGTCTATAGTCTAGTCTATAGTCTAATCTATAGTCTAGTCTATAGTTTAGTCTATATTTTAGTCTATAGTCTAGTCTATAGTTTAGTCTATAGTCTAGTCTATAGTCTAGTCTATAGTCTGGTCTATAGTCTAGTCTATAGTCTAGTCTATAGTCTAGTCTATAGTCTAGTCTATAGTCTAGTCTATAGTCTAGTCTATAGTCTAGTCTATAATCTAGTCTATAGTCTAGTCTATAGTCTAGTCTATAGTCTAGTCTATAGTCTAGTCTATAGTCTAGTCTATAGTCTAGTCTATAGTCTAGTCTATAGTCTAGTCTATAGTCTAGTCTATAGTCTAGTCTATAGTCTAGTCTATAGTCTAGTCTATAGTCTAGTCTATAGTCTAGTCTAGTCTATAGTCTAGTCTATAGTCTAGTCTATAGTCTAGTCTATAGTCTAGTCTATAGTCTAGTCTATAGTCTAGTCTATAGTCTAGTCTATAGTCTAGTCTATAGTCTAGTCTATAGTCTAGTCTATAGTCTAGTCTATAGTCTAGTCTATAGTCTAGTCTATAGTCTAGTCTATAGTCTAGTCTATAGTCTAGTCTATAGTCTAGTCTATAGTCTAGTCTATAGTCTAGTCTATAGTCTAGTCTATAGTCTAGTCTATAGTCTAGTCTATAGTCTAGTCTATAGTCTAGTCTATAGTCTAGTCTATAGTCTAGTCTATAGTCTAGTCTATAGTCTAGTCTATAGTCTAGTCTATAGTCTAGTCTATAGTCTAGTCTATAGTCTAGTCTATAGTCTAGTCTATAGTCTAGTCTATAGTCTAGTCTATAGTCTAGTCTATAGTCTAGTCTATAGTCTAGTCTATAGTCTAGTCTATAGTCTAGTCTATAGTCTAGTCTATAGTCTAGTCTATAGTCTAGTCTATAGTTTAGTCTATAGTCTAGTCTATAGACTAGTCTATAGTCTAGTCTATAGTTTAGTCTATAGTCTAGTCTATAGTCTAGTCTATAGTTTAGTCTATAGTCTAGTCTATAGACTAGTTTATAGTCTAGTCTATAGTCTAGTCTATAGTCTAGTCTATAGTCGAGTCTATAGTTTAGTCTATAGTCTAGTCTATAGTCTAGTCTATAGTCTAGTCTATAGTCTAGTCTATAGTCGAGTCTATAGTTTAGTCTATAGTCTAGTCTATAGTCTAGTCTATAGTCTAGTCTATAGTCTAGTCTATAGTCTAGTCTATAGTCTAGTCTATAGTCTAGTCTATAGTCTAGTCTATAGTCTAGTCTATAGTCTAATCTATAGTCTAGTCTATAGTTTAGTCTATAGTTTAGTCTATAGTCTAGTCTATAGTTTAGTCTATAGTCTAGTCTATAGTCTAGTCTATAGTCTGGTCTATAGTCTAGTCCTATAGTCTATCTATAGCTAGTCTATAGTCTAGTCTATAGTCTAGTCTATAGTCTAGTCTATATCTAGTCTATAGTCTTAGTCTATAGTCTAGTCTATAAGTCTAGTCTATAGTCTAGTCATGTCTAGTCTATAGTCTAGTCTATAGTCTAGTCTATAGTCTAGTCTATAGTCTAGGTCTATGTCTAGTCTATAGTCTAGTCTATAGTCTAGTCTATAGTCTAGTCTATAGTCTAGTCAATAGGTCTAGTCTATAGTCTAGTCTATAGTCTAGTCTATAGTCTAGTCCTATAGTCTAGTCTATAGTCTAGTCTATAGTCTAGTCTATAGTCTAGTCTATAGTCTAGTCTATAGTCTAGTCTATAGTCTAGTCTATAGTCTAGTCTATAGGTCTAGTCTATAGTCTAGTCTATAGTCTAGTCTATAGTCTAGTCTATAGTCTAGTCTATAGTCTAGTCTATAGTCTAGTCTATAGTCTAGTCTATAGTCTAGTCTATAGTCTAGTATATAGTCTAGTCTATAGTCTAGTCTATAGTCTAGTCTATAGTCTAGTCTATAGTCTAGTCTATAGTCTAGTCTATAGTCTAGTCTATAGTCTAGTCTATAGTCTAGTCTATAGTCTAGTCTATAGTCTAGTCTATAGTCTAGTATAGTCTAGTCTATAGTCTAGTCTATAGTCTAGTCTATAGTCTAGTCTATAGTCTAGTCTATAGTCTAGTCTATAGTCTAGTCTATAGTCTAGTCTATAGTCTAGTCTATAGTCTAGTCTATGTCTAGTCTATAGTCTAGTCTATAGTCTAGTCTATAGTCTAGTCTATAGTCTAGTCTATAGTCTAGTCTAGTCTATAGTCTAGTCTATAGTCTAGTCTATAGTCTAGTCTATAGTCTGGTCTATAGTCTAGTCTATAGTCTAGTCTATAGTCTAGTCTATAGTCTAGTTTATAGTCTAGTCTATAGTCTAGTCTATAGTCTAGTCTATAGTCTAGTCTATAGTCTAGTCTATAGTCTAGTCTATAGTCTAGTCTATAGTCTAGTTTATTTTATAGTCTAGTCTATATACTAGTTTATTTTATAGTCTAGTCTATAGTCTAGTCTAGTCCATATTCCAGTCGATAGTCTAATCTATAGTCTGGTGTATAAACTAGTCTATAATACAGTCTATAGTCTAGTCTATATTGTAGTGTTTAGTCTAGTCTATAGGCTGTCTACCTAAAAAAGTATTATTGTAATAAGTAAAATTAATAATTACCTTTGGAATTACAAAAAAGAGAATTATTTTTCAACTACTTTTTTGTTTTATTTCAAATTAAAAATATTTATTTTTCATATTAAACTAATTATATCGACAAAATCGCACTTATTCGGGACTAAATACATTAGATTTAGGGTTACATAAAATCTTACATATTAAATTTATGATTTTCATAAAATCTTAAATTAATATTATGCGGGATTTCTTTAAAAATTGTATTTAATTTATTTGTGTTTTTGAGTTTATGGTTGATACATTGACTAGTTTAACAAAATGTTGTATGTTTTTATTATTAAATTAGTTTTGCTATTTTATTGAGTTTTATAATAATACTAAGAACAATGTTAAATTAAAATCAAAAGAAAAACAAACATAATATTAAATTTCAATAAATTTCTGTAACATGGAATGTTATGTTTTTAATTTTAAAGAAATTATAAGGAAGACATGAACAAAATGAGTAGTTTTATGAAAATAAATTTAATTGCTAAATGATAAGAAGACAAAATAAGGCACTTAGTGTATAAATATTGCTTTATAACTAACTAAATTAATTAATTTACATTTACAGATTTGTTCGTTTTTAATTTTAAGTTTAGTTTAATATTTACACTTTTTGTTTAAATAAAATTTGAGCACTTTGTTTTAGTTTTGGACCGACAACAATTTCAATAATAATACTTGGCGTTTTAATTTTATAGTAAAATATAACAAAAAACAACAAAAATAATAAACTTAATTGATAATTTCTTTATATACATTTCACAGTTTGAAATAATGAATCTATAACTCGGTGGTTATTTCATCTTGCGGTCGAAAACCTAATTTATAAAATTCATCCTCCAACCATAGAGAACTAGCATTGAGATCCGATATAAGATTGCCACTTTTTAGAGTGTTAAAGCTGCTACCAAATGGATCCGAAGGTCTGGGTTCTTCAAATTCATGCAGACTGATGAGAGAACCAAATAGATGCATTTTTTGCGATTTGGTAGTACCAGTACCTGAGGTAAGATTCGAAGATGACTGCAAGGCAGATTGCTTATAAAAACCACCACCATTTATTTTTTGCCTATAAACCGAGGTGGCCTCAAATTCATCCACATCGATGCCATTCGAATTTTGAAAGAAATCTATTAATTGGCCTACCTGAGGCCTATAACGTTCGAGCACCTGCTCTGACCAAGCATACAAACGATTCCAGTCATGTGGGGCGGCTGGTATCAGTTCAATAGGACGATTTAATAATATCAAAATTCTGGCAAGATCTCTTACTATAGGACGATAAGAATTGGCAGCCGCAACATCACCGGCCAAATATAATTTACGTATTTGTCTTCGTGTATCGTTGAGCATGGCTAAAAAGTATTCAGCATTTGGTCTCATATCATTGAGCTGTCTTAGGAAATCTGAACGGTCCATGGTATGTTCATTGATTAATTTTTGTTTTATGGTTTTGCGGCGTCTACGACGTTTCACCAACATCACGGCAACGGCAAGTATGGAGAGACAGACGAGAAAACCGCCAAACATGCCAGCTAAAGCGGCCATTAAAGCACCAGAATATCCGGTAGGAACACAAACACGCCCCATAAATTCCGTATGGGCCGACCATTGATCTATATAGCCCGCTGGACAATGTTCCACACACTGGCGCGTATCGGTGACCAGATACATGGGACATTTAATGCAACCTTCGCTATTGCAGCGTAAACAATGTGAACTTGTGGTAGAGGGACAACCTGAAAAGATAAGAATTGTGGAAGAGTTAATAAAAGCAAAATACGAATATATATTAAGATATATAGATAGATAGATAGATAGATAGATAGATAGCTAGATAGAGCTAGATAGATAGATAATAGATAGATAGCTAGATAGATAGTCGATAGATCGCTCTCTCGCTCGCTCGCTCGCTTGCTCGCTAGCTCGCTATCGCTCGATCGCTCGCTCGCTCGCTCGCTCGATCGCTAGCTAGCTCGATGCTCGGCTCGCTCTCGCTATTCGCGCTATCTCGATCGCTGCTCGCTCTCGCTCGCTCGCTCGCTCGCTCGCTCGCTCGATCGCTCGCTCGCTCGCTCGCTCGCTCGCTCGCTCGCTCGCTCGCTCTCTCGCTCGCTCGCTCGCTCGCTCGCTCGCTCGCTCTCTCGCTCTCTCGCTCGCTCGCTCGCTCTCGCTCGCTCGCTCGCTCCTCGCTCGCTCGCTCGCTCGCTCGCTCCTCGCTCGCTCTCGCTCCTCTCGCTCGCTCCTCTCCTGCTCCTCGCTCGCTCCTCGCCTCGCTCGCTCGCTCGCTCGCTCGCTCGCTCCGCTCGCTCGCTCCTCGCTCCTCGCTCGCTCGCTCGCTCGCTCGCTCCTCGCTCGCTCGCTCGCTCGCTCGCTCCTGCTCGCTCGCTCGCTCGCTCGCTCGCTCGCCGCTGCCCGCTCGCTCGCGCTCTCCCTTCGATCCCTTACCTTGCGCCTGTTTTCTCCGAAGCTTTCTCCCATGGCTCTCCCTCCTCTTACTCTCCAGTTTTATTCTCCAATCATTTGTTTTAACAGATTTTACTTTTTCAAATCATTCATAAATCCAAATTAAATTTCGATATCACAATTTGACTTTCGAATTATTGGATTGCATTGGGTAAGACCCTCATATCCACAATTGTGTCATATCTAGTGAAGACACACACGAGAGATTCCACTAAAATCGTGTTAATCTCTGTTATAATTTTCAACACTTTCCATACAAATTAAGTAACTTGTTGCAGTTGTTATTATTTATAATTTTTTTTATTACGTATGTTTTTTTATTATTTCATTTATTATAATCCAATTAAAAATGACTACGCACGTCCCACTTAATGCCAGTGTAATTACAAGAAAAACATTTTGTTTTTACAAGTTTTCAATTACAATAATTCTGGGTCCCCTAAAGCTTAAATAAAAACTCTGAGCAGGCGCGTACGCTCAGAAACATATCGATTACATTGTTGTTGTTGCTGCAGTTGTTTTGCTTTAGTTTTATTTTTGTTGTATTTAATGTTGCTGTGGCGAATGTTTATTACATGTTGTCGACATGTGTGCAGCAAAGCAACCAAGCAAGTGTGAGAGTCTAAGTGCAACAGTGCGTGTGTTGTACTATGTAACTAAATGGTCTAGAGTATTTTGTTTTGTAGCTATTTAGCTAGAAGGATATAATTTTGCGGCTTATTAGCAAATAAACAAGTTAATAATGTATTGGCTAATGATTAACTGGCAGATAAATCCCTTTTATAGCTACTAGCAACAAATAAATATTGTAGAAAGAAAATTGATAAAATACTAGAGTAAAATAAGTTTGTAGAACAAACTCTATAGAGTAGAAGTGTTAAAGTTTTGACAGTAGTTTAAAAGAATTCAAAAGCCAATATGTGAAACACCTATTTTAGGCATTTCGCAAGGGGTTTGCATACTAAACTTATCACAGGTAATCTCTGGAGTGGTCAAATCTAAAACAAATTGTCTTTATAGTTTAAGATATCAGAATTTTAAATCTCTGTTTCTTAAACTACTTAACAACAAATTTATTTAATACACCTGATGCAGACGGACATAAAACCAGACAGACAGTCAAACAAGATGAATAATATTGTACAAATGTAAAGATTTACTATGGTCCAATGTATGAAATACAAAAAAGTTCTACTTTATTATCTTATCCCATGAAAGAGATTGGTAATACAAGTACCAAAACGAATGCTTGAATGGAAAGACAAATGGATGAAGTAAGAACCAACGATGTAGTAGTAGACATTCGTACATCATCATCATCATCAGCAAACGTGTTGGAATTTCGCTTTGTCAGTTTTTTGTTTTGTTTAGTGGCTTGGTGATTTTTGTTTGGCTGTTAAGTAGTAGTTGTTTCAATTTACAATAAAGAAACAATAAAATAAAATAAAACATAATAATAAATGTGTTATTGTTTTATATCTTGGCGAGAAAATGGAGCAAAGCATCCATCCACTTTCCAACATTCAACACAATCACTAACAACTCTTCTCATGTGAACTGACTATTTCAAAACTTTAAAGACGAGTTGAGCTAATTTTTTTTCTTTTAAGTCTTCTGCTAAATGTGTGTTTTATGAAGCGGCTTTTTGTGACAGTTTAGGCCTTCTGGCGGCTTTATTTCTTGAAAAATTTTGCAGTTTTTTCTTCATCCCGTAGTTTTTGTTTTTCCAGAGCAATTTTTTGTAATGATTGTACGTCTGATTCTTTGTAATTTACGAGTATTTACGTTTATTTTATCTGCCAGATTACTTTTTAACTCTTTTCGCTTAAATACAAGTTTACTAAGTAAAGTAAACAACAACGGCGACTTAAGGTATTCGATATTTTCCCAGCAATTACATTTTTTGCTTTCTTAATCTTAAAACCAAAGGACGGTCGTTCTCCTTGCAACAAAGATGTACTTAACACAAAATTTTACTTAAATCTAGAAATAATGGGTGTTTGTTTTTATTACCCTACACTAGATAGACTTTATTTAGGTATTAACCAATTTTTTAAATTTTATAAAAAATTTAAATTTTCGAAGAATGATTTTATTAAGAAACATTTTGAGCAAATTATTCTAAAGCGACAAAATTTTATCAAAAATGTTCTTAAAAGAAAAATTATTGAAAATTTGCTTAAAGATGAAAATTATTGAACATTTTCTTAAATAATACTACATTTGCAGTTCAGTTCTAGTTCAGTTCCAGTTCAGTTCTAGTTCAGTTCCAGTTCAGTTCTAGTTCAGTTCTAGTTCAGTTCTAGTTCAGTTCTAGTTCAGTTCTAGTTCAGTTCTAGTTCAGTTCTAGTTCAGTTCTAGTTCAGTTCTAGTTCAGTTCTAGTTCAGTTCTAGTTCAGTTCTAGTTCAGTTCTAGTTCAGTTCTAGTTCAGTTCTAGTTCAGTTCTAGTTCAGTTCTAGTTCAGTTCTAGTTCAGTTCTAGTTCAGTTCTAGTTCAGTTCTAGTTCAGTTCTAGTTCAGTTCTAGTTCAGTTCTAGTTCAGTTCTAGTTCAGTTCTAGTTCAGTTCTAGTTCAGTTCTAGTCAGTTCTAGTTCAGTTCTAGTTCAGTTCTAGTTCAGTTCTAGTTCAGTTCTAGTTCAGTTCTAGTTCAGTTCTAGTTCAGTTCTAGTTCAGTTCTAGTTCAGTTCTAGTTCAGTTCTAGTTCAGTTCTAGTTCAGTTCTAGTTCAGTTCTAGTTCAGTTCTAGTTCAGTTCTAGTTCAGTTCTAGTTCAGTTCTAGTTCAGTTCTAGTTCAGTTCTAGTTCAGTTCTAGTTCAGTTCTAGTTCAGTTCTAGTTCAGTTCTAGTTCAGTTCTAGTTCAGTTCTAGTTCAGTTCTAGTTCAGTTTAGTTCAGTTCTAGTTCAGTTCTAGTTCAGTTCTAGTTCAGTTTCTAGTTCAGTTATAGTAAGTTCTAGTCAGTTCTAGTTCAGTTCTAGTTCAGTTCTAGTTCAGTTCTAGTTCAGTTCTAGTTCAGTTCTAGTCAGTTCTAGTTCAGCTTCTAGGTCAGTTCTAGTTCAGTTCTAGTTCAGTTCTAGTTCAGTTCTAGTTCAGTTCTAGTTCAGTTCTAGTTCAGTATCAGTTCTAGTCTAGTTCAGTCTCTAGTTCAGTTCTAGTTCAGTTTCTAGTTCAGTCTAGTTCAGTTCTAGTTCAGTTCTAGTTCAGTTCTAGTTCAGTTCTAGTTCAGTTTCGTCAGTTCTAGTTCAGTTCTAGTTTCAGTTCTAGTTCAGTTCTAGTTCAGTTCTAGTGTCAGTTTCTAGTTCAGTTCTATTTCAGTTCTAGTTCAGTTCTAGTTCTCTTCTAGTTCAGTTCATTTTTAAATATACATTTTATTGAAAATTTAATAAAAAGACGAAAATTTAGTAAACAATTTTAAAAGGTGAAATATCGAAAAGTTTGTAAAAAAAAGAAATTTTGTCAAACATTTTCTAAAACGAAAAAAAAAAATAACCAAAAATTAAAATAAACTAATTCTAAAAAGAAAACATTTTATGAAATTTTTTGAATATTTTCTAAAAATTAAAAATTTATTCAAAATTTTTTAAATATAGAAAATTTTGATAAAATTGTTTAAATATAGAAAATTAAATAAAATATTTGAAAATTGAATAATTAAAAAAATATGAAAATTTTGGAAAAAATTCCCGTGAAATTTGTCTCAACATAATATGTGTTTAAAATAAAGTAAAAATAAATATTAAAATCAATAATTTTGCTTTAATTTACTGTACACAACAGTCGGTCTTTATAGGTATAGCGTCACATCTTTTAACAAGAAGAACAAATATGCTGTAAAATATTCCGCCAAAGGGTAACTTTAAATTACAACTAAAACCAATCCTTCCTTTTTAAACCCTCAGCAAATATTGAACACAAATTAGATTTGTTATTTGCACAAATCCTTACAAGTTCTGAGAAAGTTGAAAAGTTATAAAAAAAAATTTTTAAATAAATGTTATTCTAACTTAAGTTAAACTAAGGCAATTGCAGACATACTTTAAAATTGTTTAGTTAAATATAAGTATTTAAAACTTAAAGTTAAAACTCATGTCAAGTTAAATAAATAAATATATATAACAACAACTAAAATGTAATTCATAGCATGTAACTAACTATTTAAGAATTCAAAATTAGTATGTATGTTAAATATTCAATCATTCATATTTATATATTTTTTTCAAATTAAACTTTACACAAGTTGGTCAATAACTAAAGACTTATATTAATAAGTATTTAGT